TCCTGCTTCGGTCATACAGGGACCGGACAGCCCTTAGCAAAGGACCCCGGACCCCATATTCCCGGAGCACCCTCCACAGGCCGCCTCGGGGGACACAGTCGAATGCCCTCTCCAAATCCACAAAACACATGTGGACTGGTTGGGCAAACTCCCATGAAGCCTCCAGCACCCTGTAGAGAGTATAGAGCTGGTCCAGTGTTCCACGGCCCGGACGAAAACCGCACTGTTCCTCCTGAATCCGAGGTTCCACTATCATCCGTATTCTCCTCTCCAGTACCCTGGCATCCCCCTGTAGTTGGAACACACCCTCCGGTCCCCCTTCTTAAAAAGAGGAACCACCACCCCGGTCTGCCATCCCAGAGGCACTGTCCCTGACCGCCACGCGATGCTGCAGAGGCGTGTCAACCAAGACAGCCCCACAACATCCAGAGACTTGAGGTATTCAGGGCGGATCTCATCCACCCTCGGTGCCTTGCCACCGAGGAGTTTCTTGACTACCTCGATGACCTCAGCTAGGGTGATGGACGAGTCCACCTCTGAGCCCTCAGCCTTTGCTTCCTCAATGGAAGACGTGGCGGCGGGATTGAGGAGATCCTCAAAGTATTCCTTCCACCGCCGGACGACATCCCCAGTTGAGGTCAACAACCGCTCACCCCTACTGTGAACAGCATTGGTGGGGGACTGTTTCCCCCTCCTGAGGCGCCGGACAGTTTGCCAGAATCTCTTCGAGGCCAACCGATAGTCCTTCTCCATGGCCTTACCGAACTCCTCCCAGGCCCGAGTTTTTGCCTCCACAACCACCCGGGCCGCAGTCCGCTTGGCCTGCCGGTACCTGTCAGCTGCCTCCGGAGTCCCACGAGCCAACCAGGCCCGATAGGACTCCTTCTTCAGCTTGACGGCATCCTTTACTTCCGGTGTCCACCACCGGGTTTGAGGATTGCCGCCTCGACAGGCACCGGAGACCTTACGGCCACAGCTCCGAGCAGCCGCTTCGACAATGGAGGTACAATGAACATTGGTTTATGTCAAGTTGTATTAACAAATAATAATAATTCATTACATTTACAGTATATAGTGCTTTTCTCGGCACTTGAATCGCTTTATATAGTAGGGGGAATCTCCTCAACCACCACCAATGTGCAGCATCCACCTGGATGATCTGGACAAAGACATATCAAACAATGTCATATTTGTATTAAAAATGTCATAATTGAGCGAATGACACTTAATGACAGTTGACACTTATTTTATGCATGTTGATGACATGGCATGATTGTGCAGGTGTCATGTCAGTCTTATGCACACCCCTTCAAAAAGTAACAAAAACTTTTTCGGTAAAAACTTCATACCAGCTGTTAAACACAAACAGCCACTGCTCAGTGATGATGATATAATAGGTGGGTGAACTGGGACTCGACTTAATTTGAAACAAACATCTTTTCCAGTTTATTTCTTCACTGATTTCATCATATACTCTTAGCTGGCTAACACATACTTTTAACCAATAGTGTTAAGAAGTGAAGAACGAAGTGAAGAAGAGTGAAGAATCTTCACTTTGGGTATACTTAAGTCTTTATTCCCAATATATAATTACCACCACTGTTAAAATAGAGAACATGACACAGATAGCACTGTGTCTACTTCTCTAATTCCAGCTATAAGCGGTCTGATCAAATACAAAATGATTTCTTCACTTTGTTCATAATTAGATTTCAGAAAATTAAAAATGGATTCCATTGGAGCTCTGCAGTCAATCACTGCACACGGAGGGACCCTGACCTCAAAGCTCATTTTGTAATATCTAATCTTTTTATCTGCAAAAACCACCAAGGATGCCTTTATTTATTCAAAAAGGCAAGGATTCATTAGCATGCCAAAACCAGAGTTGCATGTCTTCACATTGCTAAGAAAGAAAAGTTCTGGCAAAATGAGAGGTTAATGTGTCTATGTGTAAAGTTGCAGCCCATTCTCACCCATGCATTTAAAGTGAAAACAAAGTGCCTGCGGGTTGTGTCAGCTATGCACAAAGACTTTAGATATACAAACATGGTCTACTCCTATTATAAATGGGAGAAAGTGCAAATCGCAATATGGTAAAATAAATCCCGCCTTCACAATTAAAGAGCCAATCTTCAATTTGTAAAACCATCGCATCACTGCAGCTGCCGTTAGAAGCTCTGGTTCTACAGCCAGTGTTCTAAGACGCACTTTATTACTGCTCATGTGCATTGGCTGGTCTAGCCTAAAAAAATATAAGCGTTTAACAGTATTTGAGCATAAGAAAGAAAATTTATGCAACAGTGTTATCAGATTTCATTGGTGATTTCAAATATGAAATTTAATTGTAAGCTTTGTGAACAGCTTTGAAGAATTTAATGTTTCCCCATTCAAAAAGAGCCATAAGCTATTTTGCATAACTGAAATAGCTGCTCGAGAGGCATTTCAAAGCTGCCGAGTTAAATGACTTGTGTTATATGGACTTTGCTGTATATCAGTTTAGATTCATGCCCTCCTGTTGCCCTTTGCCCTTTCACTACAACGTGAGTCAGAGGTGATTCTGACGAATGGGGATTGCTTGCGAGAGCCTACCTACTTTGAGTGAAATAAAACAAGCCAATGCATATTGGCATGCGATAATTGTATTTGACCTTGTCTGCTATAAAAGTATAACATTTCTTAAATCATAGTTATTCTGAAGCTTTGTAATGCAAATCTTAAGGGATAAAAAATTCCAGAATGGCATGTTTTAACAGATCCAGCAGTTGTAGTCAAGTCAAGTCACCTTTATTTATATAGTGCTTTTTACAATACAGATTGTATCAAAGCAGCTTCACAGTGATAACATGAACATAATACAACACAGATCAATAATATTGTTTAGTAATATTAATGGGGGGGTTGACTGCTTTTTTTCTTTGCATGATTGTGTTTATTGGGTGCAATATAAGTGTTCTACAAAAAGATACACCGTAATTTCGGTGTACTTACTTAATTTAAAAATAAAATAAAGTGTTACCAAATATTCTACAAGTGTGCAACTCTCATTGGATGAATTGATTTTCCGATGAGCAAAATGTCTCTGTGACTTCACATATTTTGATGCGGGTGTGTAAATGCATTTTGCACCATATTCAATGCAGCAACTCTAGCAAAAATGTAAGCATACGAGTTTCTTAATTTGTGATTTGTAGAATAGGATTTGTCCACCTGAAATGAAGAATTTAAGAAGGTATTAAAAACTCTTTTTTTATATATATTATAATATTATAATATTTCTCTCTATGACTTCAAATTGACTGATACACATGTGTGGCTATTCTCTACATCTACAAATTTCACTGTCACAGGCGTTCAGTTGTTTTGCACCAAAAATACCTTCATAGTGAAATGTACCAGACAGACAGTGTGTCACGATCCACACACAGGAAACAGGGGTAAATCCAAAAGCAGTATTTATTTAGAGGATAATCCAAACTCGTAGTCACACATGCAGGGTCAAACCAAGAGAAGCCATCAAAACAAATAAACAAACAGGAACTAGGAACGGACCACAGATCAGAAGTGGTGTGACACAAAATACAAGGACTCCGTGAAACACACTGAACAAGACTGGGTATATATACACACATCTCTAACAAGACTAACACAGAACAGCTGGGAACAATGATTACGGGGAACAGCTGAGTGCAATGATCAGTAAGTGACAGAACAGGATGATGGGAAATGCAGTTCCAGAAGTGAATGACACAGTGGGGAAGGAGGACATCTAGTGGACAAACAAGGGAACACATCCAGACACTGTGACATAACCCCCCCTCTACGGAGCGGCTACCAGACGCTCCACGACAACATTAAAAAACATGACACAAGAGTTTCGGGAGGGAGGTGGAATGGTGGAGGATCAGGGGGAGGGATGGTGGGTCAGGTCCGTAAAGGGAGACAGGAACAAGGGGTGAGGGCTTATCCGAGGACCAGGGCCAGACACAGAGTCCATCGGGCAGCCAGGGCGAGACAGAGTCCATCAGGCGGCCAGGGTGGCGAAGAGCCCTTGGGCGGCCAGGGCGGCGAAGACCCCTCGGGCGGCCAGGGCGGCGAAGACCCCTCGGGCGGCCAGGGCGGCGAAGACCCCTCGGGCGGCCAGGGCGGTGAAGACCCCTCGGGCGGCCAGGGCGGTGAAGACCGCTCGGGCGGCCAGGGCGGTGAAGACCGCTCGGGCGGCCAGGGCGGTGAAGACCGCTCGGGCGGCCAGGGCGGTGAAGACCGCTCGGGCGGCCAGGGCGGTGAAGACCCCTCGGGCGGCCAGGGCGGTGAAGACCCCTCGGGCGGCCAGGGCGGAGATGCTCTCTCAGGAGCAGGCACCGGCTCGGGAACAGACACCAGAACTGCAACAGCCACAAAAACAGACACAAACACAGGAACGAACACTGGTTCTGGCACTGGAACTGGCATTGTCTCTGCCTCCGGCTCTGGAACAGGCACTGGCTCTGCCTCCGGCTCTGGAACAGGCACTGGCTCTGCCTCCGGCTCTGGAACAGGCACTGGCTCTGCCTCCGGCTCTGGAACAGGCACTGGCTCTGCCTCCGGCTCTGGAACAGGCACTGGCTCTGCCTCCGGCTCTGGAACAGGCACTGGCTCTGCCTCCGGCTCTGGAACAGGCACTGGCTTTGCCTCCGGCTCTGAAATAGCAGCCACCGGCTCAGGAACTTCCAAAACCGGCTCAGGAACAGCCACTAAAACAGAAATCATCACAAGGACAGACACAAACACAGAAACAAACATAGGGTCTGGAACAGGCACTGGCTCTGCCTCCGGCTCAGGAGCAGGCATTGGCTCTGGCTCGTGCTCTGGCTCTGCTTCCGGCTCTGCTTCCGGCTCTGGAGCAGGCATTGGCTCCGGCTCTGGAACAGGCAATGGCTCCAGAACAGGCACTGGGTTCACCTCCGAAACACCGGACACCGGTCTATCCAATATCCTAGCCATCCGGTCCAGATAGTCACAGCTCAGAAAGGCAGACGGAATGTGAACAGTCTCTCGCTGGACAGACGGGACGTGAACAGTCTCTCGCTGGACAGACGGGGCGTGAACAGTCTCTCGCTGGACAGACGGGGCGTGAACAGTCTCTCGCTGGACAGACGGGGCGTGAACAGTCTCTCGCTGGACAGACGGGGCGTGAACAGTCTCTCGCTGGACAGACGGGGCGCGAACAGTCTCTCGCTGGACAGACGGGGCGCGAACAGTCTCTCGCTGGACAGACGGGGCGCGAACAGTCTCTCGCTGGGCAGGCGGGGCGCGAACAGTCTCTCGCTGGGCAGGCGGGGCGTGAAGAGTTTCTCGCTGGGCAGATGGGACGTGAACAGTCTCTCGCTGGTCAGACGTGCATTTCCTCCCCCTTCTCCGTCCATGACAGTGAGATGTTGCCTCTGAGCTGTCCCTCACTGGCCCAGGGTCGAAGGGGGGCGAGGGTGGAGAGTGGTGTTGAACTTCTTCTCGACCACCTCCTCCTCTGCGACCTCCCCGGGTCCCACGAAAAATGACTAGACGGGTTCCATGAAAATAATCTCTCCTCTCCCGCTCAGTGGCTGGGGAAGAGAAGTTTGAAAACATACCGCTGGATTTAGGGTGTGACGGAGTCCTTCTGTCACGATCCACACACAGGAAACAGGGGTAAATCCAAAAGCAGTATTTATTTAGAGGATAATCCAAACTCGTAGTCACACATGCAGGGTCAAACCAAGAGAAGCCATCAAAACAAATAAACAAACAGGAACTAGGAACAGACCACAGATCAGAAGTGGTGTGACACAAAATACAAGGACTCCGTGAAACACACTGAACAAGACTGGGTATATATACACACATCTCTAACAAGACTAACACAGAACAGCTGGGAACAATGATTACGGGGAACAGCTGAGTGCAATGATCAGTAAGTGACAGAACAGGATGATGGGAAATGCAGTTCCAGAAGTGAATGACACAGTGGGGAAGGAGGACATCTAGTGGACAAACAAGGGAACACATCCAGACACTGTGACACAGTGTAATCACAATATACATATATTTCTATTGCAGAAATGTCAAAAAGCACTAGCAAAGTAGTACAAATCATGATGTGTAGAATCTGATTTCCTCTCTGGTGATATACAGTAGCTTTGTGAGTGATATCCATTATTTGAAGGCACACATTTCTCATTCAAATGCACCTTACCTGAAACACAGCATCAATGAGCATTTGATATCCTAATGTACTGTCATAAAGCTTCTTGAGGTTTTCATTGCTGAAAATTCCTCCACTCAAAGAAATCAGGACATAATTGTTTGAAAGTTAACAAAAGAGACCAGGTTTAAACGGGAATGCGTCCCATTCATCTTCTTGTGATCAGATCAACTGAAACACATCTTAGGCAGATCGAGAACCCCAGGAAAATGCAGTTTTTCTAACAGGCTACGGAATATTTATATTTTGCATAATTGTATTTATGGGGTGCAATATAACATCTATTCGTGGTTTTTCTTTTTTAAAAAGTCTTATTTTTCTTAAACTTCAGCTTTATTGTCAGCCGCGCTCTCCTCTGTCCCCTGAACGAGCGGTTGACTTCCTGATTCTATGAAAACACTCCCTCAGAAACACGTAGTGGGCTCAGATTGGTTAGTTTGGCCCGGTGTGTTGTGATTGGCTAAACTGTCGCTCACGTTGTCCGGAAGGTTTAACGCCCATTACCTTTACGGGCGGAACGTGAGCTCCGGTCCAGAATGTAAATATGTGTCGAACTGCAGTATCAGTTTGAGGCAGAATCAGACCGAGAAACCCGCGATGAAGAGAGTCGAACAGAACCTCACCACACACGGCTCTTAATAAATGTTTCTGAATGATAATTTGCTACATTTTTTAACTTTTTGCACGTTTGTTTTACACAGTAGCATCTGACTGGCAACAATAGCAACTGACTGGCTACTAATGTCATACTCAAACAGCGTTGGCATGTTTACGTTCTTGATTAAATCGAAAATAACGTCATAAAGCATATATACATGAAAATACGTTTAAAACATTAGTACTTATAGAAAATTAAGATCCATAATGTTTGTACGAGTTAGTCGTGGACACAAAATAGCATAGGCTAACTAGTTGTGGCTATAAAGCCAGCGCTGGCATTTGAAAAAAAAAATAAAACACAATAAGGCTAACGTTACGTCTGGAATTATACATGCAAATACATTTAAAATGATGAAGTCTTAGCCTACTTACAGATTGTGGCCCAACACTGCTGCCTCTTCTTTTAAAGTCGGAACTGCTTCATGTTTCTTGTTGAATCTGGAGTTGAACTCGTGGAGATTCTGGAAACTGTCTTCCGTAAAATGTGCAGCAGTGTTACGACCGCAGCCGCAACACAATGAAGCCAACACAACTCAACTCAGCTCCATAGGAAATTTATTACAAAAATACGATATGGACATTAATCAAAAATAATAAACCAAAAATAAAACACAACGAAGGAGCACAGAAAGCCGCCCGAGAACCTCGCTCCCTCCGACTGGACCGCTTGGACCTCTTATGCCAAACATCCACGAAATCACAGGTGCCGGCGATCAGTCCCTAATAAGGAAACACACAACAAGAACACACTCGCCCCCTAGAGGACAAACACATAACAGAACAAATGAAAATCACCAATACATGCACATGTAACACCTTCACCCCCCCCCCAAAAGTGGATCTAATTTTTTTTTTTTCAATGCCTTCCAAGTTCACGCCCCTAACCCACCCGGGACAGGGCATCAGCTACCACATTTTCCTTACCTCAAACATGTTTCACGAGTTCACACTTACATATAATTTGGAGTGAGTAAGATTCAATGCGTATTTGGCGTGCTGTCCGGAGGGAGGGCTCCGAGCTCGGAATTCTGCCCGAACCCAGAGTACTCCCCCCGTATGCAAGTGATTTTTTAGAAAGAGGAGTGTGCAGGACTAGGAGTGTGGAGAAGGGATGGAGGAGGGATGCTGCAAACTGCCAATGGATCGAGGTAAGACTGCTGAGTCTATATATACCCTCTTATCATTGATTGCTGATTGCCGTCCACTCGTGTTAATTATCTGAACGTGCTCCTCCCGAACTTAGTTATTAACAAAACTTCATTTCACGAGTTCACACTTACATATAATTTGGAGTGAGTAAGATTCAATGCGTATTTGGCGTGCTGTCCGGAGGGAGGGCTCCGAGCTCGGAATTCTGCCCGAACCCAGAGTACTCCCCCAAAAAGGCTAAAGAGCAGAGGACAGCCGCCGGACTAAAGACCCCCCAAAGAGTGCCAAGAAATGGCGGGCTGGCATCTCGAGAAGGGGCCTGGATGCTTGTTCAGGGAGGCCCGTGATGTTGGCTCACTGCCTGGACTGATGGCCCTTGTTGACTGCGAACAAGGTGTGGTTGTTGTATACTTGTCCAGGAGGTTTTCACGCTGCATCCACTGTAAGACCAAATATTCGCTGAAATGAAAGAGAAAACGTGAGTGCTCTACCTGGAACTTTCTCGCTCCGTCCGATGTGAGACCAATGCTCGCTGGACGATAAGAGGAAAACTGAAAAGAGGAAAATGAGTGCTTATCCAGGAGATTTTCTCGTACTCTCGTCCACGGTGAGACCGAATGCTCACCGGATGAAAGAGAGAAAATTTAAGTGCTCTACTGGGAAAGCTCTCACTCCGTCCGCTGTGAGACCAATGCTCGCTGGACGGAAAGAGGAAACCTTACAAGAGGGGAAAATGAGTGTTTGCCCAGGAGATTTCTCGTATTCCATCCACTGTGAGACCAGCTGCTCGCTGGATGAAAGAGAAAATTTTAAGTGCTCTACTGGGAAAGCTCTCACTCCGTCCGCTGTGAGACTAATGCTCGCTGGACGGAAAGAGGAAACCTGACAAGAGGGGAAAATGAGTGTTTGCCCAGGAGATTTTCTCGTATCTGTCCGCTGTGAGACCAACTGCTCGCTGGATGAAAGAGAAAATTTAAGTGCTCTACTGGGAAAGCTCTCACTCCATCCGCTGTGAGACCGATGCTCGCTGGATGGAAGAAGGAAAACTGAAAAGTGGAAAAATTGAGTGCTTGCCCAGGAGATTTTTCTCACACTGCATCCACTGTGAGATCAACTGCTCGCTGGATGAAAGAGAAAATGTAAGTGCTCTACTGGGAAAGCTCTCACTCCGTCCGCTGTGAGACCGATGCTCGCTGGACGGAAAGAGAAAACCTGAAAAAGAGGAAAAAATGAGTGCTTGCCCAGGAGACCAACTGCTCGCTGGATGAAGGAGAAAAATGTAAGGGCTCCTCTGGGAAAGCACTCACTCTGCTCATAAAGTGATGGCGGTTTTTTGAGTGTCTAAGAAAAACGAAAAAGGGTAATTTAAACGTGGCATTGAGTGTGTGAGTGGAACTGAAGGGCTGGTAGCTTATGCGGAAAGCCGAATACATTTAATGAGAATTTCCAGTGTTATGGGGTGTACGGAGTCGGGGGCGGGTGGGCTGGGATCTTTGGATCCCTTTAATCAGGGTTTGTGAATTGTTTAACTCCACAGAAGTAGTGCCGTACGACAGTTTATGGGAAAAACTGGATTGCCGCTCAAATAACCTTTAATAGGAGATAAAAGATTTGATTGGAAAGAGAAAAATCGGGGGAAGGCAAGTTATAAGAGACATTTTTTTTTTTTTTTTCGTTTCCTTTCTTTATGTTACCTCCAAGCGGTAATATAGGATTGAAAGGTCCTGGGAGATACCGCTTGGAGGATATCTTTTGATGCGTGCGACGTTAGCTTGGAGACCAAGCTTGCTGGACAGAGGAAATAATCAATTAGGGGTTTTAGCAGGAATAATAATTCTAAATGGTGATGTACTGGAGAGAAAACATCATTGTTATAGCAGTGTAGAAAATAAGCCAGAGGAACAGAGCTCCTGCAGGAGCAGAGAAGACGTCACTGCTTGAGCAGTGTAGAAAATTATCCAGAGAAACAGAGCATCTGTGGGAGCAGAGGAGACGTCACTGCTGTGGCGGTGTAGTAAATTAGCCAGAGAAACGGAGCTCCTGTTGGAGCAGAGTAGACATCATTGCTGTGACAGTGAAGAAAATTAGCCAGAGAAAAGAGTTTCAGATGGAGCAGAGGAGACGACACTGCTGTGGCAGTGTCGAAAGTTAGCCAGAGAAACAGAGCTCCAGTGGGAGCAGACTAGACAACACTGCTGGGGCAGTGTAGAAAATTAGCCAGAGGTAACAGGGCTCCTGTGGGAGCAGAGGGGACGTCACTGTTATAGCAGTGTAGAAAATAAGCCAGAGTAAGAGAGCTCCAGTGGGAGCAGAGTAGACATCACTGCTGGGGCCGAGTAAAAATTAGTCAGAGAAAGAGAGCTCCAGTGTGAGCAG